AGATTTGTTTGCTGATATTTTTGAAAGCAATACGTAGGGTGAAATGTTGGTACATTTAATTTGTTGATATAGGGCCTTCCTTTCTTCATCAAGGGCTGTACAATTAAGCAGGTAATTGGGAAGATCTTCAGTAATTTCCTTGTCACACAGTGTACATATTAGGTTTTTGGCCTCAAACGTCAGAACGTGGTTTTTTTTAAGACTGTAAATAATATTCTCGATTGAGCTATACATCGTTTGACTGGTAAAGGGAAATCATCGGTTAGGAAGCATTCTGTTTCTATTTATTGTTAATTTCTCTTTACTTCATTATATACGATTTAAAAAAAGAGGAAATTGGGAAGAGAATTACTATTTATCTTATTAGCTAGTAAAAAGGAATATATTGGATTGAATAAAAGATTTATTTGCCAATATTTCGGTTGGCTGAATGTCAACCTTTATCGAGGCATTACATTTTTGTATACACAAACTCAGCGCCGCATAGTGTTATAATATCACAGTTGAAATAATTTAAAAATACAAAGTAGGTTATATGGCTATATAGGTTATATGAGCGAATATATGCACAAATATAAACCTCTCGCTATATATATTGTTGCGTAGAAATCAAGGCTTTGTATATCTGAAGGTGTGAAAGTATTTATTGATGACGTCACGGCGACTAGTCTACAATTTCAACCAATCAACCAAACTATCTACAGCTAGAGAATATTGAGCAAGCAAGCTAGGTAACTAAATGATGATTTTACAAATGTAAAATTTTAAATCTGTTTCAAATATTTTCGTTGAATAATTAAATTAAATAGTAAATATAAAATATATTTCTTCGTCGCAATATACATATATTATATTCCATTATATATTATCAGGGGGCAAAGACACAATTTGGCGGTTTCATAGGTCGATGAGAGATTTGTATACCCATACTGCTAGTTCTAAAAATGAGTAGGAAAGTTAGAAATATCGTTAAAAAATGGAAAAATGATTGTTAGGCTATAGACCAAAGACTATAGCTGATTATATGTTTATTTATACTAAGAAGAGACTAAATGTAAAAGTGACAAGTTTCATTGTTGAAGATGTATAAGCATAGCGAGCTTTCAGATAATAACTGTTACGACTAGTAGAGTAGTCAACTTTATTTATGCAAATATATTTTTCTAATTTATAAATGAAGAGAAAAAATGATAAAGCACAATTTGTATTAAATTACAAAACTATTTTAGACGCGTAATATTCTTTTTAAAATAAAACAATATCTACTGCCCTTACTGCTGCAATGGAAAAATTAAAGGGAGGGCCTGGCTTATCAGTTCAATTTATATTATAGATTATAATAAAAGAAAATAAGACTTAATCCAAATAATTAATAAAATGTTGTTGCCGAAACGTCACACACTAATAAATTATTTGGATTAGGTCTTATTTTCTTTTATGAAGAGAAAAAAGTATGTAAATTTCTTTGATTGTATAAATTGACAGTGTTTTTCAATAAAAAAGAGTTTTGGATAAGTTTTGGATGGTTGATAGTCGTCCTTAGAGTCTCTTCCTTGGAGTTACCGAGCTGGTCAAGTAGCTGGACACTAGGTCGTCTCTCAAGGTAAAGACAATTTGACAATTTAAACAATTTTATTGATTCTTTTAATCAAATGTTACAGAGGTGGAAAAATAAAAGAGGAAAAGGGCATATAAAGTGTAGGGGAATATATATATAGTTGTGTACAAATGTCTTCAGCAAGGAAGGATTCCCCACCTCTCAAGGTAAAGAGAGACAGCTATATTGAAAAGAAAGAGTAAACTCCCCTCAATAATAACGTCCTTCAAAAAGCTGTAATATGAATACAAGTCTTGTATTACAGCCTGTTGAAGGACCTTATTGTTCGAAAGCTTGTACCTCTTCAATAAAGAAACTTGTCACTTTTACATTTAGTCTTTTCTTAGTATAAATAAGCATATAATTAGCTATAGAGTCTTTGGTCTATAGTCTAACAATCACTTTTCCATTTTAAAACGATATTTCTAACCTTCCTACTCATTTGTAGAACTAGCAGTATGGGTACACAAAGCTCACATTGACCTATAGAACCGCCAAATTGTGTCTTTTCCCCCTGATAATATAGAATGGAATATAATATATGTATATATATAGCGAGAGAGGTTTATATTTGTGCATATATTCGATCATATAACCTATATAACCATATAAACTACTTTGTATTTTAAAATTATTTAAACTGTGATATTATAACACTATGCGGCGCTGAGTTTGTATATACAAAAATGTAATGCCTTCATAAAGGTTGGCATTCAGCCAACCAAAATATTTGACAAATAAATATTTTTATTCAATCCAATATATGCCTTTTTTATTATCTAATGATTTAAATATGGATTGTTCTATTTTAAAAACTCAAGAATAAATGTGTAGAACGAGACTATTTACATGTAAACTGGTCGTTTACGAAGAAAAAAATTGGCTTTGATCATTTTACTTAAACATTGTGGGAATATAGGGATATCTCTCTCTCAGATATACAAAGAAGACACAATGGTAATGTGTAAGGCGTGTAGCGTCTAGGTAACACTGCTAGAAATGGGAATTGTTTTTAATGATCCATAACATACATAAGAGATAGATAAATAACCCACAAAACAATATTTATTAAGATCTATATATAAAAGTTTTTTTTTCTTGTCCCAGGTCTGGACTTCAAGTTTAGACCAGATCCTGAAGGCCTCTTTATCACCTCAATGACCACAGCTGGGTCGGTGTAGATGTCTGTTCAGCAATGCCTGATGCATTGTATGATGTGTTCTTGGCTCGCTGAAGAATCCTGACATAAAAGTAAACAAAAGGAATGAATGATGATATTATTTTGTTGGTGAATTTTCTGTGGTACAAATTATATTACAACAGTAACATGGCTGGAAATACTTGTGATGACTGATCTGTAGTTACAAGGATAGATCGTCAAGTTAACCTGTATGGCTGAAATCTGCGAGTAGGTGGGGGACAACTTGGAGCTCGGGGAAGTCTTCAGCTGTTGAGGAAGGAAGCATTATGTCAGGACACGCCCCGACACCCACGTCAGATGATGACAGCCTACTTTGATGATGGTATGGCTGACCTTGATAGGTCGATGGTCTCCTGTACACTTTGTTTGGTCCTATCGGCCGATTTGGTTGAGATACACTGCGGCCGGTATTCTCTTGAGTTTCTTTTTAAGCTACAGATATTCGATATATAAATTACACTTTGACATTGATGCGTTTTTCTTCTTGATATGCAAAGGTTTCACTCTTATAGATTCGTTTTGTTTCTTGTAGCGTTACACAATGGACATTATTTTATTGACATATTGTCAATATATGAAAAAGTGCACAGTCTTCACTATTTTAAAACACTATGTACAATGAATATGGCGCCTCTGCCACCACTACAGAGTTTGGTGGAGAATCACCAGCGGGTCTCCAGCGACACCACGTATTTCGCGATCAACGAAGAATACGTAGCGTTAGATAGCCTCTCTCAGCGCACCTGTCTGCTTGGATGGATGCTTACCTGGAATCTTGCATTATCTGGATAGTAAAGCTGAACTTCTCCTCACTTTTTCTCCTTACTAATACACAATCATGTACAATATGTTTCAATGATTCAATACACAATATGTTTACTTAGTTTGGTTGATTGGTGGCGATCTATATGTGCAAGCTTACTACATTTTGCCTCTTTTCTCCCTCGATAACCTCTCTGAATTTTGGAAGAATTCTTTTTTACTTATCTCAAGTGTACACGTGGTACAAGGCTATGATAATCATGATGGGTAGTTAGCGACTGATTTTACTCTGCAAGTACATCACATGTTCACACAAAGCAGTTGACTTTTGCACTTACAAGTGTACCAGAGCCACTTTTATCTACTTGTATTCACTGGTGGGGTTGAACTTTTGCAAAAATAACACATATTCCAGGATTTCTTTTTACTTCAATGGGTGTATGTCTGCATTTTAAAATTTGTGAAAAGATAACTACACTAAGTATTTAAAATGTTTTGAAAAAATGTTTTATACATACACAACGCACACACAAAACATAAACACAAACGCAAGATCAATATTTATATAATAACTGACCAATTAATGCTATTCATGACTTATAGATGACGGTATTTATGACTTTTGAGAAGAATGTCTTTCTTTCTTCTTTAACATACTGGCAACCCCCCCCCCCCTTTTTTTTTTTTGTTCTTTGCAGAGATAGCATATTGTATCATCCCCTAACTAAGAAAATTTTGGTATGGTTTTCCTAAACAAAATGGAGTATTCTCTGTTGTGCAATATAGCTTTTTATTGGAAATGGAAGTTTACTAGCTAAATACTTACGTTTTATCAAAGACACATGTTGCTGTTCTAAGGGTTGAACTGGATGAAGATGGTAGACTTCATTTGTAGGGGAATTGTCAATGGCCAATTTAGAGGAACAAATATAAGGAGCCATTGTATCAATAGATATGTGTACTAAGTCTTACACCGTATAAGTAGGAAATGGGACAACTTGGATCGTTCCGTTGGGAAATCAACGTTGACATTTGCCAACACGTGGGTTGTGGCCACATTACAGGGACAATCAATTCGTGTTACCCTCTACTACCCTTGTAGGGACATCGGCGTATAACCGACTGCTTTTCTGCAGAAAATCATAATATATTAAGTATTTTAAAACTATATATGCTGATTAAAATGTGTTAAATTACTCTGTGTATATAAAAATAGCCTGGGGTATTCAAAAATTTGCCGAATTTTAATAAAGAATAAATATATAATACACTGCGGCTTGTGATTGTAAAACAACATTTGAAGGTTACACCGCATGAGTTTCTTTTCAATGAAAAATCTTTTTTTTTTTTTCAAGGTGAAATATTGACTATTTCTAACCTTTTTGGATGAGGTATGAAAGGGTGAATTATGAAGAATAATAATGAACGGAAAAATAAAAGTGTCCAAGGATGGGAATCGAACCCACAATGTTCCGCTTACCGGGCAGATGCCATGTCCATAAGATTAAAGTACCAGGCTTTACAGGGATACTTTCTTTTAATCTTAATTTTAATACAAGGGATTATTTTATTGGAACGTGTGTATAATTCGCCTTTTTACCTTTTTTACTATTTTAGATAATAAAGTAAAAGTCTAAGGATGAGTATCTTCTATAGGAAAATTGAAACAAAATGATTTTGTATCAATTTTTCCTGTAGAAGGGCGTTATCCCGAAAACTCGAAAAACGTTTAAATAAAAGATACTCATCCTTAGACGTTTACTTTACTATCTGAAATTGCTAGCAAAGGATTATATTCTAAACTTTTATTACTAATTTGTAAGTACACCCATACCTCGCTTTACGTCGGGGTTACGTTCCAAAAAAAAAAACACGACGCAAATTGAAACGACGCAAAGTGAAAATAAAATTTTGATGGCATGGCGCAATCAAAAACAAAGGTGTTGCCATATTTTAGGAAGAAGAAAAAAAATTAAAGACTCGAATCCAAAACAACGCAACTTCGAAAATCTAACGACGCATAGTGAAAATCAGTAAAAATTGAGCAGCGACGCAACTTCGAAAAAAAAAAACGCAAAACGAAACGACGCAAAGCTAGGTATTGGTGTATATATGTATTTAGAGATTTACACTACCTACATTTGTTGTCTCTCGAGAGCTTCTCCCTAGGCTAACAGCTCATTATAATTCAGACGATCCTGGCGATGACAATGGTAGAACAATGTGTAACCACTAGGTAGGTCTTCCTGTAAAGGTATAAGTTTATAGAATGAAATATGGTTAACACTTTGAGGACCGACGATTTCACAGTTGCATAGAAGGCAATAGGAGCTGCTGGAACGGCGGTCTCACGTGATGTTTTACAGGTACATTAGGTCAGCTGACATCCCCCCAAACCATTGATAGATAGACAAGAAGGGACAAGATTCTGGTGGGTGCGATTTTATATTTAATTTTGAAAATTGAAGACGCGAATTCGCGTCCTTCGGGCTTAATGCAAAATCGGCAAGGATGTGAAATCATGTCCCTCGGGTCGAAAGTTTTAAGTTAGTACAATGTTAATGAGAAAGGTGGAAGAAGTGGCAGTAAATTGAATTGATACCAAAACTGTAAACTTAGTCGTATCGCTTTAATTGATACTCATACTTATTTTATTGTGACCCTAGATGGTACTTTGGCTGGAAGGATTATATAAGGAATTTTTTATTGAGAATTTGATTTTAGGTTGTCATATTTGGTTAGATAGGATGGCCAAATAGAGCCGTGCGTTGTGTAGTTGCCAGGATGTACTTGGCTGTCAGATTTGGCCGCTACATCACTCTGTCCATGTTGTCCCTGGGTGTAGATAGGCATCTACGGGGCGTCACGAGATAACTGTGGTAGACAGCTGCATCTTCCCAACGGCCCTGATCTACATCTGGCGCTCGTTGCTTAACTCTGGCAGCACCTGCTAACCTCTGTTTGTCTGTCTTCACAGCTCTGCCAACTTCTGTTTGTCTGTCTTCACAGCTCTGCCAACTTCTGTTTGTCTGTCTTCACAGCTCTGCCAACTTCTGTTTATCTGTCAGCACAGCTCTGCCAACTTCTGTTTGTCTGTCTTCACAGCTCTGCCAACTTCTGTTTGTCTGTCTTCACAGATCTGCCAACTTCTGTTTGTCTGTCGGCACAGCTCTGCCAACCTCTGTTTGTCTATCGGCACAGCTCTGCCAAACTCTGTTTGTATGTCTTCACAGCTCTGCCAACCTCTGTTTGTCTGTCGGCACAGCTCTGCCAACCTCTGTTTGTCTGTCTTCACAGCTCTGCCAACCTCTGTTTGTCTGTCTTCACAGCTGTGCCAACTTCTGTTTATCTGCCGGCACAGCTCTGCCAACCTCTGTTTGTCTGTCTTCACAGCTGTGCCAACTTCTGTTTATCTGCCGGCACAGCTCTGCCAACCTCTGTTTGTCTGTCGGCACAGATCTGCCAACCTCTGTTTGTCTGTCTTCACAGCTGTGCCAACCTCTGTTTGTCTGTCTTCACAGCTGTGCCAACTTCTGTTTATCTGCCGGCACAGCTCTGCCTAGAACCTTACTAACTGCCAGTCATTGCATTTTGTTTCAATTCTCTCAGTTTACGTGATCTTACGCTCTACTGTCAGAACTTCCATAGGTACGTGGGTTGTTACGGGGGCTTCACATCAGCTGGCGCAGCACGAGCAGCCTTGTAGAACGTGCTTCAGGAAGCCGGTACAAAAATGTAATGCCCTTCATAAGGAGGTCCTCTAGGTTATCATTAAGACCAATTAAGTCATCCCCGTTCCACTTTATGACCACCGGACTTGGCATGTCTATGAGGCAGGCTCCTATATGCCGCCAGTTGGCGGACAATGGGTCGTTAGGGCCGATATATCGCTCTGATAGCCCGCTATCTCCCTCCCATCACGGCGGGCTGCGCGGGACATTTTCAATTAACTCCCGGAGGAGAGAGATATGTGGGTGGTATTCCTTGATGGGGTTCGAAACTAGAGCGCCTGCGTTGGACCATCAACCTCTTAATCACTTCAAAGACTTTAATAGAACCAGAATCCTCCATAAAATCCTGGATAAAACTTAAGGAAGTTGTACCTTTCAGCTTGTATATCGGGATTCAGACAATAACTCTGAAAGATATTTGATATACAGTAACCTTTAATGAAAACACACGAGATAACCAAGTGATTTAGTGATTTATTTGATATAGTGATTTATTTAATTTATGATTTAGAGCACAATAGTCATGATTAGATTTTTAATTTGGCTCTAGCTGACCCTGATCTCTACCATGTATGCCCCCACAGTCCTCCACGCAGCGAACAAGCCTCTCCCCACCCCTATCCGGACCATCCGGTTATCCGAGATAACCAAGTATACACTCATGGACAAAACTTAAGTAGGTTGTACCTTTATGCTTGTATATCGTTATTCAGGCAATAACTCTGAAAGATATTTGATATACAGAGATATTTATTGAAGACATACGAGATAACCAAGTGTGAACAAAATTGCCTCCGTCTCCTTCAAAAAAAAAAAAAAAAGAGGAATGGCCACATCAAAGATGTTCCACTATCTTAAGTTTTGTCCATGAGTGTTATATAGACAGTCATCATTAAGTGTAGATCATGCCTAACTCCAATCGTGGATTTATTGGTTGAATGGGGTGATATTTCTATTGTTCAGTGCCAGGAACTACAGGCCTTCCTATGAACAACCACCATGTTACTGATTCCATCCAATTTTTTGTCCGACCATCACCGTTTTATTTGATGTTGAATGGTAATTTGGGATTTTACCTAATTTGATGAGATGCTTTATTTTAATTTCCAAGTGAAACTTTTTTCACATCATAATATTGACGTCAAATACTTTGGGGCCTTATATTTTTTCCATAAAGGTATAAGCGTTTTAGATTTTTATATTAAACATATACAATGGGTAAAACATAAGGAAGTTCCACCTTTCAGCATGTATATCTGGATTCAGACAATAACCTTGAAAGACATTTGATATACAGTGACCTTTATTAAAAACACTCGAGATAACCAAGTGAGAACATAATTGTTTCTGTCGCCTTAAAAAAGAATAAAACAGAGTAACGGCCACATAAAAGACTTTCCAATTCCTTTTGTCTATGAGAGAAATATTCGGATGAAAAAAGTAGCTTCAAATCTAAAATGTCCGAGTAGAAGAGTTCTAAATGGGGATAGGTGTGGGGCAC